GGGGGGGGGGCATAGTTCGGTGCATAGGTGTTTCTCAGTGTTTAAACGGTGAACCCAGAATTTATTAACTGAAACCATTTCTGAGAGAGGGATTGATGCTTTCTTATTGCTATGCACAAAAAACAACGAATCAACAAAGAAGAGAAAACTGAGTCCAGCAAAATGTACAAAAGTGCAGGACTTTTCTGTGTACAAACTAATGTAACATTGAGGCTTCTTCCTGACATGACGTCATAGTTTGCTGGTGCATATGGAAATTACTCATTAGCATAAAACCCCAAAAGGCGTTAAATACTCTTCGATGAGGTTAACTGAGACACAAAGGTGAATTTTGATGGTTTGTAATCACAAAACTGATTTCAGCTCCCTTTAAGGTCCAAAAAGTTAACTGGGCCAGGAGATTGGTTAGAAACAACTGTGCATGACATTTAGGCACCGGACCAGCAGTTAATTGCGATTGATTCCTAGTGATAAGACAGTCCAAAACACAAGACCAAACACAGTATAGGACTTTTGGAGGTTCGCCTGGGCATCTTTTGAGCTCAAGATCAGCAGCGATTGCACACCCTGGAAATACGATTCTCAATTGACAAACACATGAAATTTCAGGTTGACAGAACACAGCATTGTGAGAAAATTAAAAAAAACACACACACAAAACATTACATGTAGTGTTTCCTTCTTACCTTGGGGGTCGCAGTCAAATCAGCAAATAAAAATTTTCTTGAACTCAATATCCCAATAACCAATCCAACAATGTTCTCACAAAATACACACAGCATTCAAACCGACTTCATCACAACTATTGTCCCTGATTTGTTTCCCAATCTTAAAACTAACTCACATTATCTAGTAATGTAAAAAAAATCGTTTGGATGTATCCTGGACCATCTTTCATACAGATTTCTAATCCGTCATTTTTTCACCTATTGCTCTTGTTAAACAACATTAATAAATCAGTCTTCATAAGCGTATGTAATTACTAATAGACCCTGTATTTATGAACAATGCATCCCCACCAATAATAAAACAATTAAAAAAACCATACAACCGTTGATGTCCACTCCAACCCCCCGAACTTTGCACAGAGCAATTGCAATGATGCAATGACAAGTTTCGCAGAAAAACTTCCCCTATCATACACTGCAAATGCTTGCACATAACAAAATTAAACTCGGTTCAGTATGTTTATTATACTTGCACATCCACCCAAAATAACAATTTCACAACATTCTTTCCGTCTAGCTCTAATGCTCTTACAAATTAATAACGAAAAAGGTAGAATTTAAAACAACTGAAAAATAATCAACAACACACTCAATAATTCACAGCCCCAAGTTAATAGGAATAACACTGATGACGTTACTGCCAGTAATCCACATCTCATTGAAAATCATATCAACCAATATTTCACAAACGTCGGTAAAATCTTTTTAACCAAATCCCCTCTGATGGTTTTAATTTTAAGGACTATTTATTAAATCCTAACCCAAGTTCCAGTTTCTTAAGTCTAGTTACTGAGAAAGAAGTTGTTGACATTGTAAACAACAAAAGGAGAGCAGGCTTTGATTTAATTAATAGCTCATTACTGAGTAAGTGATCCAGGCACTCTCCAAACCTTCAACATTTATCATCAATGTGTCCATCTCTACAGGTGTTGTACCAGATGACATGAAGATTGCCAGGACCACTCCTATCTTTGAGAGTGGTAACCCTGGTCTAGTTAACAATTACAGACCTTTCTCTGGTTTAATTTTTGTCTCTTAAATATTAGAACATATAAAATATAAACGTATTATTCATTTTTAGATGATCAAAACATAATTACTGATGCCCAGTTTGGATTCCAGGATTGTTATTCAACTTCACATGCTATTGCTCAATTATTGATAAGATCACAAATAAATTGGATACATCTTGTGCTACTATTGGTTTACTCTGGGACCTCTCCAAGGCTTTTGATACGGTTAATCACGATATTCTCTTGTCCAAACTTGACCATTATGGTATCTGAGGAACAGCCTTGGAGTGGTTTATTAAATCGTCAGCAGTTTGTATCTATCAATGGTATTCAGTCTCAATCCAGTACAATCTCTTGTGGAGTTCCACAGGGATCCATTTTGGAACCACTTTTATTTTCGTCTTATATTAACAATTTTGATCAATCTTCTGATCTGTTTTCTTTTATTCTATTTGCTGATGACAGGAACTTATTTTGTAGTCATCTTGATATTAATACACTTTACGAAAATATTAATTTTGAGCTTCAGAAAATCTCTAATTGGATCAAAGCTAACAGACTATCCCTTAATATTCAAAAGGCAAGTTTTAGATTTAAATTATTCACCAATAAACAATATTGTAATTTTTCATATTTTTATTGACAATACACAAATTTTGTAAAATTTGATTATGTGAAATTTCTAGGTTTATATGTAGATGAGAAACTCTCATAGATAAAGCACATTACTAATTTCTGTGCAGTTTTTTCGAGAAACATTGGTGTTATACGTAAACTGAAAATATTCTTCCTTCCGGGGATATTGCACATACTTTATAATACCCTAAAATACCTTACTTCAAATATGGAAAATTAGTTTAGGGCAATTGCGGAGTTGCTCAAACAAACATAATACTTAAATTACAGAAAATGTCATAAGAATAATGAACTGTACCACCTACCTCGATCACAGTAGTCCTCTTTTTTTATAATTGGAAAGCACTTAAATTGGATAATATTCTCTTCACCTCGGGACCTTCATGCATCAATTATGTAATAAAATGTTACCCGAATCTTTTCATGCTATGTTTATAAGCAACGATGAAGTGCATGATCACTTCACTAGACAGTGTACTTAGTTTCATCAATCTTTTGCTCTAACCACTGCTACTCAAAATACAGTTAGGCACGAGGGTCCCAAAATATGGAATTCCCTCGAAGTTTGTATAAATGTATACAGAATCTTCGATTATTCAAAAGAACTTGAAGGCAGAATAACTCTCTATTTATGTAGACTTTAATTAGGAAGGAAGGAAGGAAGGAAGGAAGGAAGGAAGGAAGGAAGGTTGAAATTGCAACAGATGAAGATAGCACACAATACCATTGTCAGAAGAACCGAATACTTCGATCACTGAATACAACTGATCTGAATCAACTTGAAATGATACTTTCACAAGCCCTCAGCATCACATACATTAACAAATAGTACAAATTAATTGCTCTTGCACATCGATGTGTATGGTTGCTAAGGCATTACTTTCTATTCCTTTATTGGAGCAGTTACAGCTCCACCACACGGCTGCAGGCAAGCACTGTCTATCTGTCTCGTGTGTTGGACTGGCCGTGTTCCGAACACTTATCAGAACATCAGCCAATTCTGAGCCCACCATCTGGTCAGTTATTCAAGAGTTGTCTGGAAAGCCCGAACTACAAGTGTCAGAAGTGGAATTGGCTGGCAAACTAAACCGAAACAAGGTGAACAGCAGTGCTTTCGTTTAAGTGTGCTACAGGTCATGGCACCTAACCCGACCAACATCGGTGTGAAGTTCAGCGCAGGGGACCAACCCGTGCAGCTAACACTGCATAAAACAGGCTCCTTTTGACGACACTATAGGTAAGGTACGCAGAGGCTAGAGGTCTTTCCTGAGCAAATGAATGGTGGCGAGATCATCATGTTAGTGGACAGGATGGTACACTAACAGCTGATGGATGGGAAACCGAAATTAAGTCTTCAGTGTCATCGTAGCAAAGACGTCCACTACCCGACCTTCTGGTCGAGCTCCTGCGTGGTGCTGGCCCCAGAACGCAAAATACTAACATGGGCAAGGAAGACACAACAGGCCGCTCACTGCCCATTGACGAATTTGTGGAAACAATTAGACATTTATTTTGATCGATAAGCAGCGCTACCACACCAAAGGGTGTATAGTGCCTCTTGGAAGTTGGGCTCTCTGAAGGGCAGTTCAAGAGTTGGGGCCAAGGCTTTGCTCAACAATGGACAGCAGAGAAGGTGCGTGTATGCCTATATGAAAAACTCGTTTGGGGAGGAAGTAACCAGCGGTATACGCTTCAGCGCCGACTGCTTGACCGCCGACAGCTGCCGGGAGAAAGTGTGCAAGATTTCCCTGTGGCACTTCAACGCCGTTTCCCTTACCAACAAAAGGAAAACTACCAAGATCCAGACCGCATGTTGAAAGAGCAATCTTTTGATGGCCTTAAGGGGAACGGTTGCAACACTCATGCCGTGACCTCCTTGACCGCTGTCTAGCTATGACCTTTGTAGAGCTTATACAAAGAACTGCAATAAAGAGAGCTGGGGGAGGGTGAAAACCGGTTGCCGGAACAATGGGCAAAATATCATCAATGACAGTCGAGGATAGTTCCCTAACCCAGATAAAAGAGGTGGACAAACTGCAGCGAGTGATTGAAGTCCTTGCCCTGAAGTCTACTCTACCACAGCCACACCTTGGCCCAGAACTGGGCTCACTGGAGTTGAACTGGAGCATAATTATAAGTAGCCTATGCAAGTGGCATGGCTTTATTAACTGCAGGGCCCCCTACAATTTAAGAGGGCCGGGGCATTTTGCCTGCAACTGTTCCCTTCCCCGTCCAAGACAGTAAGAGAAGCAAAGCCAGTCCTATACGTCTACTGCCAGCAATTTGACACAAAAAAACTCAGCAAGAAAACCAGTACCTTTGTTGTCGGGAGCCAGTCAACTGGAGTGGAGTAGAATGGCTGTAATTTCTTGACAAAGCAGTTTCCAACTGCAACTTACTCCGTCAGTGCTGTGTTCGTTTCACGAAATTTCATGCATGTTGTCCAGCCTACTTGATACAGGTTCAATGGTTCCCACCGTGTCTGAGTTGTACTACAACCAGTATTTGATATGAAGACAATTCCAGAGTAGGCTGCTTTCGGCAGATTGGTCAGACACACCATACACTGGCTGTTTTAAGGCAAACGTGAGGGCATTTATTGGGACCAACATACCTGCAAGACTTATACTTGTTTTCGACCATTCTGAACCGATGCCCAGATCATGCCATTTGTATTGAAGTAGTGCCCAAAGTCCCCACTTTTGCTCACGGCAATTGCGCCCCCTAGTGAATCCACTCGGTCCTTCATAACGGTCAGAGCTTTCTTTACTGCGTCTTGCGGTGACAAACCTGCAAAGGGAGAAAACAATTAACTCTTCACTGAATAAAATTATGTAAATGAAATGGGACGATTTTGTTAGAGTAACGGTTTTAATACAGAAATTAGCTGGTCAACATTGGCAAATTTATTACCAGACAACACACAAAAGCAAACGTTGAAACGACTTGACTTTTGACATAGCTTTTGAATTGCGAGTTAATTTATCTTTGACCACTTCAAAACAACTTGTCACGTGACTTCGATACTATATCCAAATTACTTAACCGCTTACTCAAATTACTTAACAGAACGCCATTTTACCCACTGTTCGTAAATCGGTAAGCCCCACCATCACATGGGTGTTGGTATACTTTTCACAAATGATGAGCACAACTTCTCAAGGTGTTTACATTTATATTCTAAGCTTGCTTGAAAACTATTCATCCAAGCCAACTTCCCTCTGTTCCACAGAGTTAGGTCATACAAACTAAAACGAGAGACTTTCACAGCAACACAAAAAAGACGTGGAAATGGTAACCATTAAATTAAGGAAAGATGTCTGTTTTCCTGCAATAACTGTTTAAACTAAAAGCTGCTTTAAAGGACACGAAGACACTTTCCCCTATACACCACTATAACTGCCTACGTTGACTATCAAAAGAATGATGGGTATCGATCTTGACATGCAAGTGTACCTTTTCTGAGATCTTTTTGAGAAACAATCACAACACCATTCCCTGACACACTCACCACAATATCTGGGCATGTTTCCACAAATGTCTGAAAACTCAATAGAGGACATAAGAGACCACTTTTAAAAGTGAAAGACTGATTGTTAACTTCCTGGCCCAGGCACTGTTGTGTAAATAATCTATTAGATTGTACACAAGGGGCCACTTAGCACACAGTCCTATGGGAGTTGGCTGGAGGCTTGCTGGAGGCTGGCTGGATTTTTGAAATATTTTTCTGGCTAGGGGATGCCTTGGCTATAAAGTGACTAAACCAGGTTTTTCAGCACGAACTGGGGTAGGATATGATAAATAGTTGTTGCAATTGGAAAAAAAATTACACGTTAATTAGCTCCAGTGGCCTCTCTAAAGAGGTCACTCCCTCTACGCAGGGTTTTAAGCATATTAACATGACAAACTATGGCTTTCTCTTCGATCTGGGCTACTGATAATGTAATTGACATCGTTGAGTTTCTTTTTTACACAGTATTGCCCACTGAATTTTGCTTTAAGGGGCTCGCCAGGGAGAGGCAACAGCACACTGAAGTTCAAGCACTGTTTCGCCAGGTTTGAAGACGCGGACCTCAGACTTCTTGTCGGTTCTAGTCTTCATTGCTCGCTTAGACGCATTGGGGTGTTCTTGTGCCACGGAACATACTTTGGAGAGCCTCTCCTTGAAGTTTGAAACATAGTCGAGCAGATTGGTTTCGTCGTCCTCTGCCAGAAACCCCTGTTTGATGAGTTTCAAAGGCCCCCTCACCTCAGTGACCGTATACCAGCTCAAACGTTGTGAACCCAGTTGACTCGTTCGATAAGTCCCTAGTTGCAAACAGTGGCAGTCTTCTGGAAAATTGCAGTAAGCTGTGATCATACTCTTGAGGGTTTGGTGATACCTGTCTAGAGCTCCTTGAGACTGCGAGTGATATGCAGATGTTTTAACCTGCTTAATTCCCAACTCAGTGGCGCTAGCAGGACTTGCTGAAGTACACCTGGCATGAAGTTAGACCCTTGATCGGACTGCACTTCTTGCGATAAGCCATATATTGTGAAGAACTACATAAGAGCCTCGACAACTACCTTGGCTGTAGTTTTCCTCTGTGGAATAGCCTCAGGAAATCTAGTTGACGAATCCATTATGGTCAACAAAAACTGATGCCCAGACTTCTTCCGCGGCAGAGGACCAACACAATCCACTAGGACTCTGGAAAATGGCTCATCAAATACAGGAATTGGTATCGGTGCAGCCTTGATTGGTGGTTGAGGCTTTCCCCACCTGACATGTTTCTCGATGAAATTCACCACATCTTGGTGAAGATTTGGCAAATAAAAGTGCACCTTGAATCCAGCTTAAGTCTTCCTGATGCCAAGATGACCAACAATATGATTTACAGTACTCCATTCTTCATCAACTGGTCTTCGGGTAGGTCTCCATTTACTCGTTAACATGCCCGGACCTGACGTAGTAGCATTCCGGAACCCCCTTGGCTTCTTTCTCAGAACACGCTGTCTGGGCGAGCCTACTCAATTCTGGGTCCGCTTTCTGCTTAGCAGTGAGTGATATCGGCTAAACTTAGCATCTTGAGACGCTCCCTCATCTTCTTTCAGCCAGCCAAGCACCAGAGTTCTCCTCTATCGGCACTGACTCTGCAACCTCCTTTTCCATCCGTTCCATCTGATATTTTGTCACTCCACAGTCAGGGAAAGCTTTCGGAATCTTCTCCTCCAAAGACAGAATTGCTGGCTCCTCGATGGGATTATTATAGACAATATAGGGATGGCGACACTTTACCTCCCACCACGTCGTTTCCCAGCAAAAACTCAACACCTTTTATCAGCAGACTAGGAACAACTCCAACAACCAGAGGACCAGTGAACATGTCACATTTCAGATTAATTCTGAGCTATGGGACAGGCATAAAATTACC